TAGTGGCATCAACAAGAACCCAAAAACTCTTAATAATGATAATTGTAATGTCAGTTTTGACAGTTGATTAAATGGTTTCAGTGTAATTTGAAGCTTGTTAGTGAATAACAAGAGTGTTTTAATCAGAAGATGGCGAAGAAATTATTGGCTTAAAATGAAATGCTTCCAGCTTTCACCATAAAATGAAATTATGTAAAGACCTGAATTGTAAATTCAAGCTGGATTCAAGTGACTTATCATTACATTAAGAGGTGATATATTTTGGTTTCTGTTGTAAAGAGTAAGGATAACAATATCAAGATATTTATTTCCTTCCCTGACCAATTTCCGATTGTTGACAGAATTCAAGTTTCACCATTAATCTCATAGCTACTTTTATCCTTTCTTTTCTTCCCTTTCCATTCTTATATCATTATTATTAGAATCAGCTTTCATCACAAACTCACATTTACATGAAACCTGAAACTGGAACAAAAAAAAGGTTGACAAAAAGCCAACATGAAACAAAACAAAATTAACCAAAAATGTTATTCTTGTATTAATAAGTTGCAACTATTGCTGACCAACATTGAGACAATTTTGTTGAACCCAAATTTAACGGTTATAACCATCATTATGTGTTTAAAGTTGATTAAGATTCAACTTTATTTCTGATTAATTTGTTTTCTTTTCCGTAACTGATTCAGTCTGTCGACTTGATTCTTGTCTGACCAACAATCTTGTTATTCATTGATTCAATAATAATATCAAACCAACTGTTAGTAAACACTAAAATCGCATTATTGATTGATGGTTGCCTGCTTTTCATTTGGGTTTCTCCTTGAAAAAGAGAGAAGAGAATCGCCAAATTGATTTGATTCTGTCAAATTGTGCCTCTACAATTGATGATTAACAATTTAATATCACAATCAAGGTCACAATTTGATTTATAATGTTCATTGTTATGATGAATGAACTGGTGAAAGTAAAGTGGCAAAACAGTGAACCCAAACCCAGACTGATAGACTGGGACTTTTGGGTTA